GGCGCGCCCCGCCAGCTCGCCTCTGACAGGGGGGAGAATAACACTCTGCCCTGGGTATCCGTAAATCGCTTGAGGCCAGGAGGGGCAGGGGCTTTTCCTTCTGGTTGCAGGGCAGAGGGGGAAACATGCAGAAATAACTGGGTGAATTGTGATGGTTACTTTCAAGCGTGTTTTTTACGCGTCAGGTTAATGCTCGATGGTTGGTGTTCCTGGCATTTTGTCCCTGTACGACTCTCTCATCTGTCTTCTCTATCTCCATTGTTTTTATTGTTTGTCAAATTTAATATGTGCGTAGTCCATGTGAGCTAGGAATATTACTAAACCTTGTATTTTATGAAAAGTTAGTTTTGACAGGGAAATGTAGAGAGATCATGCACACTGTTGAAAAGGGTAGGTTGAATCAGTTTTAGGGATTAATTTTTTTTTTGTTCTTCTCCCCCTGCCCAGTCTGCCTGGGTAATTGATAAGGGAGTAATGCTGTGGAAGTGTTCTTCAGGCATGACTGTTTGTCTTCCATGCTTCGGGTTAGTGCAGTAGTAATTTGAGGAGTCAGTAGGAAGATACTACTAATCACTCTTCCTCCTGATGAGGAGGGAAGTCCCAAATGACTTCAGAGGTGTAAACGGACAGTTAAGTAGTAAATAACTCGGTATTACTGCTTAACATGATAAGGATGGTAAGCAGGAGGGCCCTTCTTCTCAGAGGGCCTTTAAATTTGGGGTATTTACAGAGCTTTTTCATTTTGGTAACTGTCCATGACATCAACATAGGGAAGTAGGGTTTGCTGCTGGGAGGGGAAATTGTAATGAGCAAGAAGCTTGCAGAATGCAGAAAATGGCTCAACATTTTTTTTGATGAAGTCAGATTAACTGGAAGAGTAAAATGGAAAATGAAAGGAGATTACTGCTGCTGCTTCTCATTTGTAGCTGTTAAGAGTGGTGAGTGGACTAATAAAAACCAATTTAAAATCTCTGTAGAGTAACCATTCCCCAAATATTTGCATGATCACAGAATATGATTAAAGTGAGTGCCACTGCCATCTTGTACTGCAGCAGCATCCTCTTGTTGAAATTGTAAGGGTAGCAATTACTGAACGGGGTTACAATTTTTGCTGCCTGTCTTAGCTCTGGGATGTTCTTACAGTATGAGCGTAGGTAAACAAAAAGCTAAGTGGTTATGCTTGCAGCTAAAGGAAATATTTTAGCATTTTGGCTGAAAAAAACTCAAGGGAAATAAACAAGATTCAGAAATGTAGGAATATTAAAGAAATACATGAATTACATGGTGTTACTTATGGATAAAATGGAACTATTGTCAAAATGTTAGAACACTTTCATTAAAAAGCAGGATGACATTTAAACGTGAAACAAAGTAAATTTGTTTTAATAGGATTTTGAAAAAATAATTGATACAGAGGAAGTCAACCAAAATATTGTGACTTTTTTATAAGAAGAACTTCAGCTTTGAGTAAGAGGTTGGACTGACTGGATGACCTCCTGAGGTCCCTTCCAACCTGAATTATTGTATCCTAGTGGTTCTAGGCTATTATAGATTAGCATTTCTATTATCTCTTACCCTTCTTTTTACTCATGCCTGTATGCAAGTATTAGCACTGTTATTAGGCAATGCAGAGTATTATTTTTTCCATTTAACTTAATAGAGCTGTTATTTCAAAGCCTCTGACCCTGACTGTGCACTGATTTCAGAGAGTTCTGTATGAATTCATATGTCCACCCACAGGGTTTTCAGCATAAGCCCAGTGAGATGACTAATACGAGTACAGCTAGCAAGATCTGAGTCAGTGTTTCAGCTCAGGCTTACATTTCGCTAACTTGTTTTGGATGTGACTTCTTTATTAGTAGATAAATGAGAAGTAGGTAAATGAGATGCTTTCTTGAATATCTGGATATGAAATTTTGCAAAATATTCCGTAAGGTAGATGTCTCTATGGAAACTTGAACGACAAAACAAAAATATGTGTATACAGTGAAGTTTCTTTATTGTTCTTCTGCTGGAAGAATTACGGTTTGTTTTGTTGGTACCTGCAGTCTGTTTCATTTTGCTGGATGCTGTGCTGGTCTGTAGAGTAGCAGGCTAGGAAGGTAGGAGTACAGTGAGAGAGGTACGTTAAGTCTGACTTTAGTTCTTTAAGTCTGGTATCTTGTCTTTGTCAGTTGCAGCGTGACTGATGCCAGAAAAAAAAGGTGATAATTCACTCCAATTTTAACCTCTCTCTGGTTATGCAGCACTGAACGTAAAGGGAGATGTCTGGTTCATATGGACAAATATATAACTCCTGTCTTGTCTGAGTTACAGCTGGTTTGATGTTTAAAGTAATTCCTAGGTTTTTTTCAGTCCTGGTGAGCTGTACAGGAAAGCCATGGTCTTCAGAAGAAAATATAAGTCATTCTTGAACAGACAAGTAGAATCACCTGCCTATAGATAAAAGTCTCTCTAATTTGATTATGCAGTGACTGTATTTCATGGTCAAACATGACTATTTAAATGTGACTTCTAGGAAAAAATCCAATGCAGTACAGTAGTTATAGGTTTTCTTTTAAATCAGTACAAATTTTGCCCCTTTATAACCTCAGTAGACCTTGCGTCTGTGTCTTTGTGACACTGATTTCTGCAGTAATATTACACATGTCCTTTTCTTCTAAGTATGTTGCTTTTTAATCTAGTTGAACGTTTCCTTGTATTTAGAAGAGAGGCATTAACATTCAATTGATGTTTTGATTTTACATACCTCCGTCCCTTCTTCCGCTCGCCTTTCTTAATATCATTAGTGTTTGCCCACAGCTCAAATGTGTTGCTTTTCTATGAATTAATTATATTTTTTTGGGGGGGGAGGGGTTTCTGTGATATCTAGGTGAAATCAGAATGTTTTCAGTCCATTTCTTTATTCCTTGGAACGTTGCTTTTTCTTGCTTTGTGTGTGCATCGATGCATTAAGCAGAAATTCTGCTGAGCTGCACAGCCTGTTGTGTGGGTTTTTTTTTTTTAACTTCCTACATTCAGTTTAAAATTCAACACCACATGAGAATAAGTGTAAACTGTTCTTTCAAACATTTATTATTTATGTATTTGTTGACATAAAATGTTGTCTGCCTTGTGTTTCTCACTCAGCTAACTCTCAATTTTGTCTGAATTTCTTGGTCTGCTCTAGTATTGAGTTAACCAATTAATTATGACTGCAGTTGTTTCTATTTTGCTGTTCAATACTTGTCTAGAAAGCTAAGAAATATATCTAATGCAAGGCCTAGGAAATAGTGTTGGAGCATTTTATGGACTTAAACTGAAAATAGGTTATTCAGGCTGGGACTTTGAAAGTGCTTCTGTGCTTGCATAAATACGTACAGGATTGTACTTCTTGCTTTGTGTGTGCTTCCCCCTGTGGTTAACGTATTCTAACATTTACTTCAGTTCCTGAACTGGATATTTTTCTTGATATGAAACTTTTATTGGCAGTTATTTTAACTGATTCCCCTTTACCCGTCATTTTTCTTTTCCTTTATCCTTCATTTCACGGAGGTCCGGTTGATTGAAGTTGAATGTCTTTTACAAGTGGTTCTCATTAAGTTCGTGTTGTACTAGTATATTAAATAAATACGTAGATCTGTATATTCAAAGCAATATGATTAAAGTGATTTGCATGTGTAAGTTAAAATCAAATAACATTTCTTTGACTTGATTGCTGTTAATGATTGTTTATCTAGCCTTTTATAAGAATAATTAGGAAATCAGTTGAGATCACTTTGTGAGATTCTTTTCTTTTGCACGGTAAGTCATGCTGCTTCTCAAAAGCAAAGAAACATTACTGAGAGTTTTGCTTCTTAGTATTTTAAGAGAGATCGTGCTAAAATTTTCTATTTTAGCATTGACATTTTGCAGTTACATTAGAATGATATTTAAGAACATGTTTCATGTGCTTTAAATGAGTGTTTCTAGTTTTTGTTCTCAGTCTTGGTCAACTCCTGGGATTACATAGGCTTCTCTCATAATTTTTCCCTAAT